ATGTTTGTTTGCCGTTCTTTCATTTAGCGATGTAAAATCTATTAAAGGCATAGAATTTGCTTACAAAGTTTTCCATCTTAAGATGCATGGAGAAAGAGCGCGTATCGGCAATCAGCGCAATAAGTAAAAGCTTTTATAGATGTTAACGCGTATGCTAGTTTAGTTTAGCTAAAGTAAAATGTCTAGTGTTGAGAAAATGTTTTTGTGGAAAACAGGTATCAGACATCTGCTTTCAATATACATTACATTACGCCCATCCTAAGTACAGGGTCTTTTTCGAAACTTTCTTTACTTTCACTGATCACCGGCTTAGGACACAAGCTCTTGGACAAAACACTGTTACGACGATTTCAGGCGATCAGGTAAAACTGTATGCAATTATGTAGTTATATGTTATAGAAAAACTGCCGTGACACCCTGATACTGCACGTATTTGAATGGTTTCAGTGCTCGGAATATCAAATATTTACGCTTAACAGATTTCGCAGATTAAATACTTTATCACAAAGACCGCGAAACATTGCAGCCGGAAAGCTCACGCACTATACGGCATTGCATAAGTCTTGAAATCTTGTACATTATTATATCCAACTAGAGCATCGTGATCGTTTATGAAAATTTTGCTATGGGTCGAAGCTGCATGAATGCGAATGTTTTCGACAGTCAATAGAAAAGCGACTGTAAATGTCATAACTGTACACTGTAAGCTCTGGCATGATTACATCACTTTTCTCAGGTCTTTGAACTAGTGCTAATTTACGAAATGGTTGCACAGTGGACTGGATTCCTTGAGCAAGGGAAGCGGTAGTGAACAAGAAATACACTTCTGGAAGTTGTAGCAGGCACTTTGACACGCGTAACTGAAAAAACCACTAGTCGCTTAATTTCTACTTCAGTCGGTGCCGTTGTAGACAAATATTGTAGAATAAAGCGTTAGTTTTGATGCAGTTCGCTAGAAGCGTACGTTACCTTTCAGTAACGTAGAAATGCTGCGCAGACTGAAACAGTAAGCACACCGATCCGGATGGTCACCTGATTTCCCGGCACGCCGAAACTTAATGACAACTAGCACTTATTAATTAAAAGATACCTGAAAAGTGGACTGCAGCACAACTAATCTGTTTGGACATGTGCAGGACTGCGCAAGGTTCCTGTATACGGTGCTCTCGAAGTCCCGCAGTCGCCTTCCTAGCAACGGTCTAGGGACAGATAACAAAGTAAGTGAAACGAGATAACCATTTCGTGCAGGTCCATCGATTACAGGCCATATATTTAATGACGCGATCGCCAGAGGCCTCGCACTTTTACGCACTATGTGTAGTAACGACCACAGGGGATTGATGACAATTGCATGAAAATGCTTTAAGGCACAATCTATCAACTTCGTTTAGATACAGGAAACTGCGCCGACGTCGGGCACGCAGGGTATTTTGTATTGCTTGCGAGCATTAATTATTCCATCAGCACTCATAACTAAGCCTAAAGCAGTCGACTGAACTTCAAGAAACAAAAAAAACGCATCGATAAAATCAGAAACAACGGTCAAGAAGTAAACAACTTAATCTTTGCTGGATCAAAATAAAAGCCGCCATCCTTGAAAATAAGGCTCCAGATGTAAGGGATAAAAAATTCATCAGTATTCTTATCTTCAATGTACTTAAATTTCAGTTCAGGAAACTTCTGAAATGGCACTTGTACACTATTACTTTCATATAAATTTTAACTATACCTTCAAGCGATCGCTGGGCCACTGGATAGCGCCCTTCTGAATTTCTTGCACGATCTGCTCGGCAGATGCGTTTTTGTCCATATCGTTTAAACGAGTCACGAAGTGATTAAGTACCTAATTAAGTAAAGATGAGCTGAAACAAAAAACTGGAAATTTAAGTCAGATCCATTACCTGTCCCTAATTCATGAACCTTATTCGACGTAATCAAACAGATCTCTTAATGTGCTTGCTTGAATATCACAGGTAAGGTATTCTAGCACGAAAATCATTTCTCCATTGAAAAAAAATTACCGATCAATGAAACAGAATAGTTTGTGACGATCATAACACGCAATACTTTTCGACTTTTGAGCGCAGGTAGATTTCAATGTTCTTGCAAAAGAATTAAGTGATAAAGTGATAAAGAATGAAAGGCAGGATCATCGGGGTTCGTAAGATGAGTCAGTTTTACCTTTGGTGATCGATTTTACCTAAGAAGAACGTCACTACGAATAACAATGAGGAACTTATTTTCAGTCAACCACACAGCTCAGGATGAGCAGGAGTACTTCTAACGGATTCTGAGAATGCGCAAGACATTACTTTTGAGCGCTAAGTTTACTCGTGCTAACCGAAAGCGTACGCAACACGGCTGAGCGAATGGAACAAATCAGTCCCAAGAGGAAAGCTACGATAGCATCTCTCACGACCGACAATAAGAAAATGCAGTAAAATAGTACAGCAATGAGAAAGTCAACCACTTCAAGTACCATGGGTGGGCTCTGCTTCATAAGACAGCATCCGCAAGCAGAAGTCAGCCAATCCACCGAAGTAACAAGAAGTTATTTTAGGCTGTAATATGGAAAGATCGGACCACAGGGACAGAAAAAAGATAATTCTAAACGCAGCCTTATTCGTGGTTTATGTACGAAAGATTATTCTGAAAGATCCTGAATCGTGACAAGGCAATTTTTGTCAGCGCTAAGTAATACTCCGGATATTGTAATAAAATGCTGTGGGAATCAAATTTATCACATTTGATACCACAGTTGGAGAAATTAAACCGACGTTGGGAAACGGTTTTAAGTCCCACCCCCACCATACCACACACAGAACAATTTGAGAAGTTTGCGAATACGTGTTCAGCAATAAAATTTCCAGTACTTAAAGTACAACATTAACTTCGGCCAACACTTTTCCACGTAGAATATAACGTCATCACCAGAACTACACCAGAGAACGAAAAATCCATCTTTACCATGATTATGTTCCATATTAGGTCCTGAAACATTGGATGCTGTTGAAAACCTTCGAACAAAGATTTTTCGTACAGCATTGCGTAGATAAGGTGAGCACTGTGCGCCATACTGTATGTCAGCGTGCAGTTGAAAATCTCGAGTAGCATTCGCATCGCTTCTTCAAGTGCTGCAACGTCTTGTATCTGAAATACCCATAAAATAATCAGAAAGAAATATTCTGCCAGAAATGCCGGCCGGTGAACGATGTTCACACCAGAGATTCCGAGCCCTGAATTTCTTGCGCCTGAGACAGATCGTATTCAGCTGATAGCTGCACGTGATCCAACAGTCGCGCATGACGCTTTGACAGCACATCGAGAAGCCTGTAAAAGCAAGCGAATACCGATGAAGTGCGATCAAACCAGTGTCCTCTGAAATTTCTTTCTACGCACCCCATAAATTTCTGACATACGAATGGAGGAAGATTCTTGAAATAGGCCGACATGTTCGCCAATGCCGCAAGACAGTTCGTCTGCAGGTAGCGGTCCTGCAAAGGAAACATATGTAAATAATACGCATATAAACTAATCATAAAATAAAGTACCCGTCGTCGAGACATGTTGTGCTGAACGTTTTTAACCAACACCAGAATCACTAGACTTCCTAACGACATATCCTTCGGTCGCTCGGAGTACCACGGTACAGACTTCAGCGACTAAAACTTAGTCATTTTAACTGAATTTATGATGATCAACAAGTTGGCGAAAAGACGAAATCGACGAAATATCAATGGCAACGACTACCGCTACTGGCCAATGGCCTGCAACCTGACTCCATACGCATCAAATGCTTCGTAAAGTTGTTAGTATGAATGCAAAACTCTAAAGCCGAAGATAACGACTGCCTATCTCAAAACAGTGGCACCAAGATAGCCAACGAAACTACCTAAATCACATACTTGTCGACCTGAGGTCACACTCCCTAAAACTGTAATAAATAATTTGTGGCAGGTCGCCCACGGTGAGAGGACATGAATTGTAAACTGCAGAAGTCAGAAATCCAGAGGTGACAGTAACGTAGCGATGTTTTCGACATTTCATAAAATTGCACTTTCCTATAAGCATTTTTTCGCCATTAACCACAACCGGTCTCTGTGCATCGCTAATTAAGAACAAGGATAATCTTCTATAAAACTGTTTCGCCACCTGTTGTCAAGCGAGAGGCTTAAATTCAGTCGCGCTCCGAGATAACAGGCACTTCCGCAATTACACGTTTATGAATCATGTCTTCAAATTCAACGACTATATACAGACATGAGTCAAAGAACTGTGCATGGGTGTAAGCGCCAACTCAGTTTCCTTCAGAGTTAACAATCGGTCGACGATAAAAATTAAAGCTAAATATGACAGATAAATGTTTACTCGCTAATGTAAGCTTCATCGAATATAGGAAAACAGTAAAATAAAATCAACAAGTCTTACAATAATATTTCTATCAGAAAGGCATCCAGGACTCGTAAAGTCCAGGTAGAAGATCATTGTAAAGCAATAGCTCTTAACTTTCCCTGCAAACGCATTCCACAATGCATATCTTCTTAACTCGTCGTATTATCTTCACACATTAGGGTGAAGATAATACAAAAGAATCAAAGAATCACGAGAAAGCAGATTATGTGTTCATACCTGCAGAAAGACTGACGCCTGTTTTCAGAACTTCAAGACTTTCCCATATTCTCAGATGCAACAATATAAATGTTTCCAGTTCACCCGCTTCGCATCACTGGGCAAGAAATTCTGCCTCAGTGCCATTACGAAGAGTCGAATTGGCCATTCAAGAAATGCGCCTTACATAACCATAATGGGTTTAACACCGCATTCATCAGTATCACTGATGGAGGTAAAGACACCATTTAACGATTGATACCCGTGATAGATGGGGCACTTGGTCAGAATGCAACAAGGAAACTCGCCGCAGTGTTACACAGTCACATTACACACAGTGAAAAAGCAAATTATGGGCTAGATAGCTCATCTAAATGCAAAAGTTGCCCCGTTGTTGCCACGTCTTGGGATTCAGTACGTATAACTTCCGATGAACAGAGAACTAAGACTACTGAAAATGATTACTGAATATGTTGCTTATCCAAAAGTCGCTTATTGTAGATTTTGCTTTAATCTAAGTTTATCTACTTTAAACTGGATGGTACATTGAGCATGTTTCGGCTTCTCAGTTTCGCTACTCGAAAACGAGACGGTTATCAAGAACTCTAATAAACTCATTTGACTTTCATTGTGCATACTGATGAACCGCAACCTGAATATGTTCCTGTCATTAAATGAACATGTTACCCATCACTATGAAGCTGTAACCTTCCGAAATTCCGGGTTAAAATCGGGCTGTCACCATACCAATTCATTATCACACTGTGGTTTTGTCATCCCTCGAAATTTTTGGCGCCACTAATACTTGGTAGTTCGGTTACCGGCTTGAAATTAACGTTCCGGAAAGGTCACAAAGATTTGAATCTCAGACTTCTGACTCCCTTGTTAGTCACATGACTGTCATATATAGTTCACCAGGACGGCTATTGCCGTTTAATTCACAGTTATGCTCATAGCCTTGGTTGTTATACTTTCATTTAATATTGGTTGATGTTTCTTTCATACATTGTTAATAGCAGGGTCCACTAATGAGCTTGTCCAAACATTATAGACCTTCGATCCACTCTCATTTATCCACCGCCACTGAATGGGCACGAACTTCTGACGAGGTAGGTCGAACTGGCTGAAATGCATCTTAAAATCAAAGATTAGTCTGTTGACTAGAAACCTACTTCTACCAGAACTTTTCGTTTTTAGATGCAGTCAAAAACAGCGAAATCTGACTTCAAAAAATTAAACAATTTTACCAATTTCGAAAAATTCTGTCGATGCCATGTCGTGAATTACTTATGATGCCTGTCTTTTCCAATTTCACGGTCAGCGAAACAAAGAAATAAATGTATATTTTATTTAGTGGAACAACTCTTTAATCAACTCCATATCGATCTCATGAGAGAACATCAGTGTACCCTGATAACGATCAAAATACGGCTAAAAGAAACATTGGTCCACTGTGTAAAAGACGTATTTACTTTTTCGTGTCGATAACAGTAGAATAGGAAAAGATAGTCAACTTCAACAGTAACGCTAATTTTGTGCTTATTATAATCATCAACGAACTTACTATTTCGTGAACTATCTTACAGAAGAAATCGTCTTCGCTTAAGATCAGCATAATAATCAGCGCTATGTACAAATGATGGCAGCCAAATGCGTCGACCGTTTCTGTGCAACTGTCATACAGTATGTTCAGCAAAGGAAGCACCTGAAACGAACAAGAAAATAAAAAACCACAATCGTGATCACAAAATACAAAAACAGCGAAAACAAAGAAGAACAAACCAGATTTTCGATGTCCACCCTGGACAGTAAAAAATTGCGGAAGCCAATGTTTTTGTGCAGCAGAAAGTACAACAGCAGCAGCGGCATGGATTCACAGGATGACGCACACAACTTCTCGTAGAGCGCTGGATAATTCAACTTGAAAGTAGCAACAGCCTGTGACGGTGGCGTGAGCGAAGACATTTCTGTAAATAATCATGTCCAATCATTAACCAATTTTATTACAACAGCCAATACGAGACTTTACGAGTCCAGCGTGAACTTAGAATTCATTTCAGCATATGATCCGTTCGGTGTACTACATTATACCCCTAGGGCAGATGGTTTCATGAAGAGACTTCGTCACACCTTCTTTCGAAACCAAGGTGGAACAGTACTTTGCAATCACTTCCCGTCAAATCACAAACATACTTACCGCAAAGACATGTGCCGCCATGTTCCAGGTAAAAAAAATCTCGTAAGGAGCGATGCATCCTGACTAGCGATTTCTTATTATTTTTGGTACCCATATTTCACTTGAATATCTTTCAATTTTTCATGCTTCATAATTCAGTTTTCATGATGCAACAAAACATGCAAATGAATGCTTCAATAAACTTAGGACTTGTGAATCTCATAGTATGACATAAAAAGACCACCATTAGACTTAGGCTTAGCAAATTAATAGCATGTAATATCAAAAATGAACCATGTATGGCATTCTTGACCATTCTTGCAGACAAACGATTAAACAGATGGGACCTCGGCGGGACCACATTTCACCATATACAAATTCATTAAATTCCCTAGACGTCAATCGACGGAAGCCTATGCACTCAACTTGATTAGTCACAATGGCGCAGGTCGTTGCTCGAGACTCGCGTCACGAGTAACACCTGCACTGGGTCTGATTAATCACATGGCTGTAGCGGAACTTCGTCTAAAATTAGCCCTATCGCATTCACGTTGTCTGGTCGAAAAGAATCAGCGTCCCGATTACCACAGGTTAAAGTGCAAGAAAGCAGTGCAGCATGCGTAAAAATAAGGTAGAATCATTTTAGTGCCCCCTCTCCAATATTCATTTTGAAAGCGACGTCGACCACGCTTACAAAGACTCCAGTGAAGGCGTCATTTCTTCCACGAAAAATGTAGTTGGCGTTGGGAGGAGGTGAGCCAAATTGTTTCGGGTTGCGAAAGTCCCGTACTTAGAGAGCAAAAGAACCACTCACAAAAGGACCACTTGCAACACCCCACTGCAACGTCGAAGGCAGGCTACTGTCGTATCGTTCCTGC